GTCATCATACTTTCCTAGGCCTTGATAAACTTGTCCAATGCTGTTATATAATACAGCAATACTTGGATCATTATATTCAAGAATTGTCAGTTTAATCCTTAATGATTTATTGTATTCCTTTAAAGCCTCTGTAATAACATCAATATATATATATATTATTTTATTTTACCCACAAGAAGTATTAATTGTTTATATCAGGTCCTAATATTCAATCTACTACAATATGTACGTATCTCGATGTAAAATTTCTATACTCTTTTTCCATTAAGAAATCAACATAAAAGGCTTTATCATCACTCATATATATATATCCTGATGGCGTCCTCTTTTTTTTAGAACTTCCATTAGAAAGGTATCTCCATTGTGACGCTTAAGTAGAACTATATCCTTATTACTCTTTCGTATTAATTTATTCTTGAGAAATTGGATAACAGTCTGAATCATACTTCTTAAGCGGTCAATAAAGTAATGCAGTGGATTGCCAGTGTTTTTTTTATCAGATTTTTTTCCTCGCATCATATATATATATGTTATATTAATTTATAACTCCTTGATGTGGAGGTAATAGGTAACTCGTTCGTTATTTAAGTCAACTAAATTACCATCTTGATCTGTTACTTTAAATGTAACACTATTTATTGCACTCATTACTTTCATCGAATTGTACATTTTCTGAAATGGTCGTACTTGTAATAGACTACCTGGTGGGACATTTGGTGATGTACAATGTATCAAATCTCCACTCTTTCCATTGATGTAGGAACCATCTACAAGACTACAATGTATTTCAATAGTGTTAATACTTGTTATGTTAACAATCTGATCGCTATGATGTTTTCCATTTTCAGATATTATCCTTGAATTAAAACCTAGGATATCTCTAAAAGTATTATCTATTGTGAAATCCAATTTGTAATTATTTTTTAATTCGATCTCAGACTTAAATGTATTATAATTTGGTGAAATGTTAACATGAAACAAGTTTTCGTCTCCAGATGTATTGGCAGGGATGTAATCGTTATTTTCTTTCATGATATTTTGTAGCGCTTTCTGAATATCGACTACATTATATGCTCCTGGAGGAATGATGGTATTTTTCCAAACTTTTCCGTTAAAATATTTGAATTTATTGTTCTTTGATGTAATATTGTACCAAGAATACCAAATTTCAGCAGCAATGAGAGCTACTTTATAAATCTTTATTATGTCAAGTAACAGAGGAGGATTAAAATATGTCGTAAAATTTTCGTCTTTTCCTATTGCCTTTTTACTATGACTCTTCCTCATCCTAGTTGTATTGCTATACCAAGAAAACTAATTTCCTTCTTACAACATACCTTTCATTAATCGCACTTCGAGTAAATCTTAACACTTAACTTAGTTTCAGCAATATCCCTTAGTTACCGTAATCAGTTAGCTTCTATTAGACTAAATCACAATGCCGTTTTTTATTAGAATTCTTACTATGACTACAGTAAAA